TCTGTGTTATTAAAACAGTCAGTCTTCTGGCTATGAGGAGTAATATAAAAAATATAATTCACATATGTTGGGATGCCCTCTGGATAGTGTTGTAACAGGATAGAGTATGAGGCTTAATCTTATTTTGTGCTACAGTGCTGATGATGTTTGTGTGGCAGTACTGAAGAAAAAGCAGCTTCCTCTTCATTCTCAGTGTGTTTTGCAACACGTTGTAACATCTGGGCCAGCAGACTCTCAGAGCCATGGCAGGGCTGAAAACTTCACCTGAAATGAGGCGTAAAGATGAATAAAGGGTGAGTTCCATGTTTTAGCTTGATTTTTTTTTTTCCAAAAAGCGAGAAGATAAATTAGAAATTTGCATTTAAAGTGAACACTTCCATGTATCTACAGTTAACGGACAAAAATACATCAAAATTTATGATGAATGATGCGTTTGCTTGGTCCTATTCTCATTATACATACATCTGAAGTGGAACCAATGCCATTTATGAATAATTCAATTAAAATAATGGCAAGTATTTTTGTAGCATACAAAAGTGTAAACATTAATTTAATAAGGCTGAGAATCATGAAATGCAATCTTAATTACTAGAAACCAGAATAATCAGCTGAACTGAGGCAGACAAGACAATTAAGTCTTTAGAAATAAGCTTACAGCTGCTGGCTGGAATTAACGTACTCGGAGAGCATAGTCATTACGTTGAAGTGCACAGTGTTTTGGAATAGACCTTAAAAGCAACCTAAGTTCTCTTTGCTCTGCATGTCTTTTAAATATTCTGTAGCCCAGGAACTTGCCAGGGTTTTTGTCTGTGTCCCCCGCCAGCCCCAAGGTGCAGCAGTGATCCCGGTCGGAGCCAGCTCTCCCTGCTGGCAGTGGCAGAGCTGTGACAGGCTGCGGGAGCCCCTGGGTGCGGGTGCCCTCCTCCCAGGCCAGTGATCAAGGTCTGCCCTCTAACAAGGTGGATTTCTTGCATCTTACCCTCCCCTGGGAGGCTGATGCCGTGCTTCAGTGGTGGTTAGAAACCTTCTCCGTATTTCTTGCTATTTCTAGCTATATGGGGAGACTTCCTGCCTTTCTCTGTGCTCAGCCTTTTACCTCTCACTCCAGTGTATCTGAAGCAACCGTGCATGACTTCTGCTGATCACCAGTTGCAATTTGACTTCAGGTTTCTTGGTACTCAAAATGTGCAAAGCTCTCTGCTTGGCTGTGAAGGGGAGCCGTTTTCAAACCGGGTCACACTCAGCCAGAATAAACTTTCAGTCAAAAGTATCAGAAAGCTGAGAATTATCAGCTTGTGAATAAAACATCTGGAGCTTTTAAACTGTAACTGTGACGCCTAGCAGCGCCTTTGTTACTTTGAAGTAGGCAAAAATGGCACAGCCAGCTCTGCAAGTGCCACTGCTTTTCTCACAGTGCCTTCATGTCTCTGCTTTTCATGCCCTGGTGCCTCATTTATGGCTCATCATGGACTGCACAAAAGAAGAACAACTGGTAGCTTCATGTTTTCCTTTCGGGGTCACCTCGTGTTCCCGAGCATTCACAGCACAAGCTGAGGGCCCGATCTCCCCCAAGTCTGTCACTTCGGAACTGCATAACAGAATTACAAAACAAGCAAAAATATGATTTGGTGAGGCTCCAGCCCAGGTCTCCAATGGCAAATGCAGTAGCCAAATTTGCATAACATTTACACTCTCTGTGTAGAATGTGGTTTAACTTTTGTTTTTTTTTTCTCAATTTGCTGTCATGTTTTGAGAACTCACTTGCTGGAATATGGAACTGTCATCATTATTAAATTCAATATAAGGTTCATCAGCACCCACCAATTCAATTTAAAATTTACATGAAATTAAGGGGTCACCACCTGTTGTGGGCTAATAAAACCCAGAGACTAGAAAAATAACCTTAATAACGCGACCTCTAGTGGCTCCAGCACGGCAGGAACGTGGACACTGAACTGTTGTGGAAGCAACAAGAGATTCACAGAGGGAATATCCACAAGGTACGATAGAGAAGCTAATCTTTTTTATTCTGCTCTCCTGATTGCTTTGGATGAGCTTTCCAATAAATGATTGATTAACCTCATACAATGAGATTTAGTCTAGACCTCTTGCTGCACAGATTTACTGCTGCATTAAAGCACAGGTGCTTCTTGCTCTCCTCCTTCCCATGACAGTGATTTGTTACATGAACATGGAAGTAGTCAGAATAACTGTGGGGCGAGCTGTGGTGATTTGTGTGTTCACTCACACTACAACTGAGTGTACAGATGAGATATGGTTGCACATAACTCTTTTTAAACAGGCTCTGTACAATCTTTAGCATTTTGTGCTCTCCTTTTGTCTTGGCTCTGCACTCTCCTTTGGTCCCGGATCTTCTTGCCCCAGCTGGGTAGATACCTACTAGAAATAATGACTTTGGCCATAACATTTGTTCTTTGCCTCTAAGCCAGCCTGGAGTGAGGAGCTGGAGCAATGTTACTGTGTCACATTACTGGATACCAGTGCGTCAGTAGAGTTTATAGAAAAGACCCTGGGTCACTGGATCTTGTGATATTTATGTTGTTTTCACTTGTCACTTCAAGCCAAAAGAGGTGCAAGAGAAAAGCAAATGCTGTGTATTTACTGAGGGAATAAAAAACTAACCTGTCTTTTTATAATCTTTGCCATTAGTTGGTACTTGTCTCTTAGGGAACAGTGTGTCCCTGGAACATGGGGCAGATCATGTTTTAACACAAGAGGTAGATCCTTTTGGCAGTCAGTGAAATATTAAAATTGACTTAATTGGGCAAAAATTTCTGCCCCTAAACTTTATACTCAGGTTTAAGGCTGACCAGCTCTGTGAATCAAATTTCTCTTGGCATGAGGTTCTCTACCCGCACACTAGGGACAACTCAGGGACAGCTTTTGTTTTAGCATGCCTTTTCAGTGGATTATTAGATTTTTTTTTATCTTTAGATGCAAATTCTATAAAAGAGCTTGATATTGTCATACCTTTTTGAAAAAGCTCTTGTACTGTCAGATACACAAATTGTCTGTGGATAGGAGATAGGGAAGCTTGTGTGCTGCTCAGATTAAAGGACCAGAAAATAAAAACAGGTGTTGTTAGAGCAGAGTTTAATTCCTTCTTTCTCTCTTGGAAGTGGTGCACCTGGAAAACTTTGGAGAGGAGACTCCTGATCTCACCAAATCCAATGTGCACCGATGTGTATTGGCCAACCTGTTTCTCTCTTAAAAGCTGCCGTACTTGTACTGGGCAGCCTTTTTCCCAAATCAGCATAGCCAGAAGGAGCTGTCTTGAGGAAGACCCTCTTTGCTGGGAATGGCAGCAGGTGGTGGCGAGAGCCCTTAACGCGCATGTGGGGCGGGAGGCCCCGGCGGGCGCATTGCGCAGCCACCCTGCGGAGCCGGCGGGAGCGCCGGGATCGCGGAGCGCTTCCCCGCGGCTGTGGGACGAACGCGCTGTCTGTGCCGGCTCTGCAGCCGGCCGGGAGGGCTGCAAGGAAATCTTTCCCCTATGTGTATTGAAAATAAATAGGTAGTCTTATTTTTAACTGCTAGCATCAATTTTGCTGCTCCTGTCATTTCCTGTGTGTATAAGTTTCCTTTACGTTTTTTATGTTTTAGATTTTCTCAAAAACTAATAGCTTTTTTAACTAAAATTTCAAATTGAGGGAATATAAATGAGAGTAGAATTTGGGTGGTAAGAAGTGATGGATAGGATTTCTTTCAACAGTATCAGTAATGCCTGTCGCTGCTTAGTTTGGAAGTATAGCGTCTGCGCAGCAATTTATTTCACTCTGTGTGCATCCATCAGGCCTGGGTCTCTTAAACAACAGCCACTGAATATTAACAAGTTGCGTTTGCCAAAAGTGTTGAACTTCATGTGCTGCCAAAAGCAGTTTTACAGAGAAGATGGATATTCTGAGGCGCTTAAATATAATCAACCAGAAATATGGCTATAACTTACTAGATTTGCTGTTTGTGTGTAATAGAACCATGCTTGTCTGTGGAAATTTTTGGAGATAGTTTCTATGCAAAAACTAATGTATTTTTTCATAGAAAGCACAGTATTCATAGTATTTCATAGAAAGCACAGGTACTATTTTGAAGAATCAATATTTCTGCAATAATCTCTAAGCTTTGATACTAATCAGTAAGTTTCAAAAATCAATAAGTTTTTATGTTTAGAAAATAGAATTACATTTTTATACGGACAGACAACCAATTTCCTAATGTATCTGATGACAGTTCAGTACTGATAGAAGAGACTGTGTTTATGCAAAATTAATCTATGCTGAACTGTGTTATTAAATTCAGACTTTGATCCTATGCTGGAATGTTTTGCACAGCTATGAATCAGTGTGGGTTTAGAGAGGAGACTGTAGGAATCAAGAAGTTCCAGCGAATGGCAGGAAAAGGCCACTTCACAGCAATGGGAACTGAAGCTGCTTTGGGTTTTGTACTCAGTTGTGAGTCCAAAACATACACTGCTTTTCATCCCACCCGCCTGCCCCAGCTCCTCCTTTCCCTTCATCCAGGATCAGATTATAAGGCTTCCTGTTGGGCCTTGTTCCAACAGGAACAGCCAGAATTATACTATTGCTTGATACCTTGGAGTGACAAATGTGTCGTTTGCTTTTAACTAATGTTACTAGAAATAGGACAGGGAAAGCAGGTTGTACAAATTACCTACAGATTCTGCTGTAATGGTGGCATGAGAATAACCTAAAGCTGGAAAACACAAAGATAAATAAGTGCTTAGGTTATTACAAGTGCTTTAAAACAGGTGCTTTAAATATTTTTATAATCCAGAGAGCCAATAGGCAGCGTTTTAAGGAGTCCAAGCAGAACTGCAAATTGCCAGTGCTGGGAAGCAGAGGCTTCACAGGCCTTTGCAAGCAGGTGTGCTGCATTCGGTCGTTAGATAGGCAGGTCCTGGATAGAACAGGACCGAGAGCTTTACTGGAGCTTGTAAACATCAGTCTGCACTCCCCACATGCTGTTTCAGGCTGTTTCAATTAGGAGAAGAAATTGGTACCAAAGCCACATATTTAATTGGTTGAAAACTTTTTTATTTACCAAAAATTGTAGCCAAAACACTGTTCTGAACACAGTTGGCAGGTTCCTTGTTTATGTTTCTAAATCTGCTTTTCCAAACAGCAGCTGCTGTATGAAGTTTTCTCGAAGGATGTTGGAACAAGTGATTCTTTTACTCTATCCCTAATTTTCTGGTTATCTTTAGTTGCATCTCACTCATTAGGGCAAGCAGAGTCATTTTTTCAGGCATATCAGGCGTGTGAACCTAACACTTTAAAAGGACTTAAAAAGTTCATTTCTGTGATCTTCTGGGACACTGAATTTTTTGGGTGGTCTGTATTTTGCATGAGATAGTAGTTATAGGTACTAATTATGAATCAGAAGTAGGGCATAATCTCTGCTGCTTGCATAGTTAATACAAGTTGGAAAGTTGCTATAAACAGAAAAATATGCCTGTTTTTTCCTTCTCTTCAGGAAGTATCCATCTAATGGTCAAACAACACACCTTGTTAATGATCACAGTGACTTCATTGATGTGGTGAAAAAGTTAATTTTAGAAACTTTTAAAATCTGAATCCAAGGTGTTTGAGTTTTTGTGACTTTATAACCAGTGGTGGCTCAGGTGTGTTTCAGAGAGGTCTTTTTTTTCGGCTTGTGCTTTTGTTCTCTGAACTGCAGATCAGAGCCCAACTTACAAAGCGGAATATGCGAAGGCCACCCTACCTGCTATGTTCTTGTCCAAACCCTTTTCTCTGAAGCATTCTTTGACCACTTTGTTATTTCATCTTTGCAGCGTGTGTGCTACACCGCTCCTCTGGAACGGCGGGCGGGCGTTTCGCGGGCTGGGCAACACTCTGGCTTCTCTTTCAGACCCCCTGACAAAGCGCCCTGTGAGCTTCTCACAGCATTTGGGAAAATGATTAGCATGGTTATCCCTCTGGCACCAGGTTTTTGTTTTTTGATTTATATTTTAAAGGAATACCTGCTGCTCAATATTATCTAGGTTCTGCATAAGATGCTTTTTGCTAATTAATTATGGACTATGAGAGTCCCTAGCTGGCTGTTATTGAACTCCTTCATCAGGAGTAAAATGATTACGTAATTGTCATAAAGTTTAAGAACAGCAGAATGCATTTCAGTAAGCAGAATTTCAAATAACTAATTCTTTGAAGTAAAAAGAAAGGCAAGCAGGAGGGTATAGTCATTCCTTTAAACTAGTTCTTTCTATCACCATTCAACTGATTGCTCCTGTGTGAGAGGAAGGGTTTTATTTAGCAAGGTGCGGGTGAAGGCTGCGCCTGCTCGGCCTGGAAACGTGTGTCTCGCACCGAAGCGTCCCCGCACCGAAAGCAGCGCAGGGAACAGGCGCCCCGAGAAGCACAGCTGACCTTATTGCCCAAGGCCTGCGGAAAACCCTCCGTCTTCCCTCCTCTGTGTGCATTGCAGAACAAACAGGGAGAGCAAACACAAAAGTACCTTTGACTCTCCAAACAGAGTCAGGGCTTGTTTGCCATAAGAGATGGCCAGCTCCAAGTCACTAGGCAGCAAGAGGTGGCACCCAGGCCTTGGCGCATGTGCCACCAGCCGCACCGATTGCCTGTAAAAGGCCACCCTATAGCAGACGTTCTTACTCCATCTGTGTAATTCGAACAGAAAACAAAGACTGGGCAAAGATAGACGTGAAGAACCAAAATACGGACGATTCAGGGTACAAAGTGAATGAATAAACTCGTGTGGTGTATGCATGTGCTCATATGCATGGATGGGTGGAAGTTCTCTTAAGTTTTAGTTTTTACACTGGGAAATCTCAGGAAATTTCAGGAATAGTAACCAGGTCTGTTAGGCACATTTGCTATCCACCTGAAGTATCAAGGAAGGTTCACCTATCCTGGCTTGTGTTTTCTTTTTTTTCCTCACTTCGCTTCCTGTGATGTACTGTGTAATGAATATGGGTGTTTCCTTGGATTTCAGTGGTCTTTAAATAGGAGCTTGTTGTGTGATCAGACAGGGAGCGAGGATGAGATGTTAAGGGCTAAATACAATGTTCTGGGGTAGAACAAGAAGTCTGAATTATGTGAAAAAAGCAATCAAGTGGGCTGTTATATAGGACTGTTTTATGATTTTGATTCTGACTGGGGAAGGGAGAAGAGCCCGGAAAGGAAATGTTTCCTTCGGTGTTCTGGCAAGTGTGTTCATACACCAGAAATGCTGTTTTGACTACATTTCATTTTTGTCAATTCCGTGGACATCAGAAAATACCAAGATGTGTGTTTGTGAAAATTTGTGCTGTTGTGAGATTAGAGATTAATCAAGTTAATATGAAATCAGAGGATTTAAAAAATTAAGTATCGCAGATAACTCATATATGTATCTGTTGCATGCTTAAAGCTATCTCAATATATATTCTGAAGAGAAAAATACCCAATGCACAAGTAGAAATATTGCCTCAATAGTGCATTGACTTGCACCACTTTTACATTGGTGCAGCTTTGATGCCTTCATTATAATTTACACTGATTTACCACATTGTGAATAGGAACAGAATCAGGTCTATACACTTTTACAGACTTTCACTGTAGGCCTGTGTTTTAGTTGGAGAGTCATAATTTCAGAAAAGTATTAATGAAATGATTGCTATCAAAAGCCCTTCAACTTTTGAAGACATTTTTCAAAAATTATTTGGCGCCTGGGCTCATTTGTGCACAATGTTTCAGTCTGCTATAGACTAACTGAGCTGGTCTATAAAGGGCTGAAAATGAAATTTTATTAGAAATAAAATTGTATTTATTGAAGGCAGTTTTCTTACCTAACTCTGTAAATGAATCAAGAAGCTGGTGATAGTAAAACTTTGCTGTGCCATGGTTTTCCAGATGGCTGTCAGCATAAGCTAAATTGCAGGGATTTTTTGTCTGGTCTTTTTATCCCTGAGCACCTGAAACAGGGATTAGTGTCAGTATTTACTGACACTAATCATATTTACTTAAACTGATTTAAGTACCTTCTCATATACCGTATGAACAACTTGCTCCAAGAATATGGTATTGAAATTATTAGAGCAAGTATTTCTAAAGTATTAGTATTTTATTTATATTACATTTTTGTTTTTATGTTCTTCTATGTATGACATACCCTGAAGGGAAGCTCCAAATGAGGATTATTCTAGTGTTGAAGGCAGTAACTTACACTTTAAACTCTTGCAAAACTTGAGAAGAAAGGCTCCTTTGTAAGAATGTCTATGGCGTCACATCCCAGTGTTGCTCGGGGGTGGCTGTGGTTGTAGCTTTGGTCGCTTATAGGATCTGCGATGGCGTGAAGCTGGCAGGTATCCTGTTCAGGTGGATTTAATGCATAATGTGTCTCAAGGTACCTGGCTGAGGGGCAGCAGGCGTGCAGAGTCCTGCTTTCTGCCCCACCGTGTGCGTTGCAGGAGCATTTGCAGTATATTTCCTAGCAAGGGGCAGTGAATACCTCTGTTCTCAGTAAGAGGATTCTGCCTCTACCTTACTTGATTTTGGAGTATGGAAAATCCAACCATCAGCAGCCAACATAGAGCATTGAAAATGATATGTGTGAGTGTTTCAGCAGCTTGTATAGCAGCTGGCAAACCATGTGTAGGAAGGTTTGTTCTCTTCTCTGTGTATTTGCTAATTACTTACTGGTCCCCACCTTTAAAATATGAAATACTAAATAATGAAATTTAAAGTAGTCAAAGCTGTTAGGAAAAGTGTGCTTTTATGTAATGCATGTCTCATTTCATTATGCAATGGATACATCTAAAATGTTGAGACAAGATTTCACATTTAATCTTCACTCCCACACTAGACAGTAACTTGGACTGTGTGTGAATCCGAGTGCTTTCATTGAAACCAATCACCAAGTATATTTTGAAAAACATTGACTGGGCAGCTGTTTATAATTAGGAAAAGAAAATGCAGCAGTAGTAATGAAAAACCTAACAAAGGTTTGTACAAATGACCCTTAAAATGTCTGCAAGTCTACAAAAAATTATAAGAATTCTGTAGTTAGAACTTTCAGCAATTATTTCCTACCACATGCTCTAACCCACAATGATGAAAACCAGTTGCAGTGTAGGGTTTACAGATTTTAGGGCCAGTAAGATATGTTGGTAATGTCCTAAAAGAAGTGCAATTAGAGAAACCACACCCATAAATTAAATTAATGATTAATTCATTTGGTAAGGGAATAACTTCTCACATGTTTCCAGAGGGGAGAGGAAACAGTTTCTTTAAATCCCATCATTAAATATATCCTTTAAAAGGTCATAGTTAGATAAAACAGTTGTTTTCAGTATTTATCTTGTTAAAAAAATCTATAGAAATTCATCATTTGTTTAGGAAAGCAGAGGTTTTAGCTAGGGTTATTTTACGAGACAAGTAGTTTAGAAATTATTCCATGACGGTGCTTTCCTGTGCTGGAATTCCCAGGTGCTGCCCCGGCGCCAAGTGCTGCCCGCCCTGGCGCTGCGGCCTCCGCGGGGGCCTCCGTGCACCCTGCCCGGGGCCTCGGGCCCCGCTACAGCCCAGCCTGCGGCTGCCAGCAGGAACCACGTCCGAGGTAGCAGCAGGTGGGTTTCTAGAAAGCACTGGGAGAATTCCTAGAAAGCATCAGGGAAATCGGTGGAAAGCAGCGTGTAATATCTAGAAAGCAGCAGTGGGATTCCTTGAAAGCACTGGGAGAAATACTTGAAAGCTTTGTGGAAATTCCTGGAGAACTCCTGAAAATTTCCTAGAAATTTTCCAGAGCTTGGAATTTCTGGTAAACTGGCAAACAAAAATAATACAGACTTTTGGCAAACCCGGTGAGTTTGTTTACCATGATCGGTCGGTGCTTCTTTATGACTAACGTGGATCTGTTACAAATACACTGTCCCATTTTCAGGGTGTAATATCCTGATGTTCTGCACAAAATACTTGAGTAGTCTGACTTGAAATGACTTTAAAGGGTGACAAAATA